CTCTTGCCAGCAGCTGCTGGTATCCAAGCTGTCCCTGAGACAATGCAGAGGTTCCCCTGATGGTCTCTCACATCTGCTGCACAGCAGTACCAGGGCAGTGCCCTTCCCTGTTTGATCAGGGGCTGCCTGGCACTTGCTGGCAGAGAGGAGCTGCTCAGTCCAGATTGCAGGAGATGTTTTCTAGCTTATCAGCTGAGGGAATGGGGAGCACTCCCTCCATGGTGCTGTGGCTCTTACCTGACCACTCCCCATCTCCCCTGCAGCCTGCCTTTAAAGGAGGAAGATCCCAGTTCAGCTTGGGCATTACTGGTGGGGATGGGCCTGGGAGCTGAGCAAAGACCAGGAAGTCCACTTTGAATTTGAAATTTGCTCAACCCCAGAGGTGTTGGTAACTTCCTGCAGGCTGTGGAAAGAATGATGTGCGCAAAACACACAAAGAATAAACATGGATCTTCATGACTCTGCCTGAATTATCCAGATTGATACTGCATGACCTAAGTAGATTGTATTCTAAGGTTACGTAAATGCACTTTGGTTTTGTCTTTTCTAAAGTTACAAGATTCTCTTACCTACTTACAATTCTAAACTGCATTTACGAAGGGCAACATCCTTTAAGGGACTATTCTGGTTGTCTTGGTTATTTAATCTATGTTTTTTGCTCCTAGGAACTTACAATTACTGTTGAAATGTAAAACCAGACATAATGTTCCAGAAGCAAATATAGCTCCTGTGTTCTCTTTGCTATAGCCTGCCTGTCTGAGCTCTACCATCTACAGTGTTTGCATGACTAGGAGCAGAACCTCCTTCAACAATAAGTGAATAAGGAAGAAATAATCAAATGTGTGTTAATTACATGGCTTAGGTCTGCTTCTGAAGATTATTTTTGGTAATTCTGCAGTTGTGTTTGTTCTGACTTAAGCAAGTCTGGGTAGTCTTATATCTGAGTACACCTTCCTACCACTTCAACACCAAACAACCCTTTCTTCACAGGTATGATGAGGTCCTATATAGATCTTCTCAGGATCTGCAACCCAAGCACATTGTCAGCTACCTCCTCACACTTAGGTAAGGTAATTGCTGATACTGGCATCTCTCTCTGGGAAGGACAGATCTTCCTGAGCTGGCTCTGCAGCCCTCATATCTGCACTGCTTTGAAGAGTAAAATTAGTGGGAAGATGTAAATTTGTGGGACAGTTTCTCTGGAGCAGGAAAGGTATCAAATAGGATAGCAAGTAATATAATAAGTAATAGAGATTGAGGTTGGAACCAGGAACAAAGGAGCCAGGAACATCCTGAAAAACTAATCGCTTTCAAGAGGATCACTTGGCTGTAACCCTGTGTCTGAACCCAAAAATCATGTTGGTCTAATGCTATCTTAAAAGAGCAGATTTGAGCTGTTGTGTGCTCTCAAGTCTCAAAATTTCAGCTAGGAAATTTTGTCCAAACCCCTTTTAACCTCTCAGCCTAGATGTTGAGATGGACAAGGCATATTATTACTGTAATACTGTGCATGTGGCTCCATGGGGAGGGTCTCCACAGGGGTCTGTCTGATTTAACAGGACAGATCTACTAGAGAAAGCTGTAAAGCCTGTGTATGGAAAAGGCTTTAACAAGTTAAGGAAAATGGTATAAGAAATCGTGTGCCTTGGGAATGACAGGGCAGGCTCTGAAAGTTCTTTCTAGACTGGTTTTGGGGGGAGGGTGAGCAGGATTGTTTTGGGGTTTTTTTTATGAGCATTAAGTTATTGATGGCATGCCCTGACAACATGCAGGCTAGAGAAAACCATGCCCTCCCTCAGCCAGGAGAAAGAGGCTGTTGGAAATGAGGCTCTGGCATGCTGCAGTTGTGGCTCTTCCAGTTCTGTGGCTTTCTGTAGCCCATAGCACTGCTCTTGTCAAGGGACTTGTTCATTCTCACCCTGCTCACCCTCTTTTGCATTCCAGCCATCTTGCAGCTGTGGCACATAAAACCCTTCCCGTGAGAGGCAGCGCCCCTGAACTAGCCCAGGTATGGGGGACAGCAGTGGTAGGTGGCTGGAGTCTGCAGGGCATCCCTGAGGAATGGTCCATGAGGGCTTTCCCAAGCCAGCTGTGTAACCACGGGGGTGAATGTGCACCTGCAGGCTAATGAGGCAGCAGGCAGGTTGTTCTGTGGGCAGCACTTGCTGTTCATGGCTGTGCCTTCTGGAAGGGTCTGCTCTGCCTGAGCTTCCCAGAACAGAATGCTCCATAAGGACAACTGCACCAAAGTCAGACAAACCCCATTCTCATCACCTTTCTGAAAGTAAATATTTGAGCATTTAACTTGCTGGTTAATTTCTGATGGTTTCCTTTAGTGGTTATGTGGGAAGAGAGAGAATTAAGAGATAACTGAATCTCTCTCCTCCCTCTTGCCACCTACATATCCCATGTTGTCTGTACTGCCCTTCCAGCTAAAACATTGAGGCTGGTAACTGTTAATGTGCAGCTCCAAAAAGATGCAAGTTATTTTTCTAGTGATCTCCCAGGCAATGTTTGATCCCATAGCTGCTCAGTAAATGACATACTAATTATACCACCTTTATTTATTTATTTTTAACCTATTTCAAAAGCAATTACCTGGCTGATTTTGGTAGGAAATCCCATGTAAGTGTTAAGCTGTGTTGCCAGGGAAAAAAAATGTCAGTTAAATTGATGGAGCTGCACTCTGTAGTTGAATTTAAATGCTATAGGTATTCCTGCCTTTGAAGGTGGTTCCATGCATTCTTGGGAAGAACTAAGACAGCCCAAGCTACAAGGAAAATTTCAGTTCCTTATCCTGTAAAAAAAAATATTTCTCACACTGTGACAGCCTTCAAGGAACTATTTATTTGGAGGGAGGTTGATAAGAGTCCATCCCAGACACCAGCTGTGTAACAGCTAAGACATTGACAAGAAGAGTGGTATTTTCAAAGCAGCCTCTATCTAACCCAAGTGCAGTGGGAGGGAGAATTCCAGCAGTACCCTCAGGCTGCAATAGCCTGTGGTGCATGAAGATCTTAATGTTTTAGCCCTTACTAGATCATGGACTGGGCTGGACACCCCTTTCCAGCTTTGTTGACAAGTGTCCCTCTGCTGACACTGCAGTGGGCTCTCAACAGCTGCAGTGAGTTCTGCCAGCACTGGTGTTACTGGGTACTCAGATCATGTGTGTCTGACTCCCTGTGCCCTGCATGGGGACAGAGGATGTGCACAGTGTTCTCACCTCTGACAGGCTGCTAACTGCTGTCCTGACAGCTACACCCTCTTCAGGAGCAGTATCCTAAGATGACAGCTCTTCTTCTTTTCCAGGCAAGGCTCTGTCTCTTCCAAGCTGCACGCTCGGTTCTAGCTAATGGGATGAAACTTCTCGGCATTACACCTGTAACACAAATGTAACAAGGCTGTGTGCAATGTAAAGTCACATTTCTTAGCAAAATGAGTTTTTTTTCAAGAGAATATAAATACTTTCCTGTGTGTCATTGCTAATGCAGCCTGGAAACTCTCTGTCTGCTCTTGGGGGTCTGTATGGTCCATCATACCAACTGCAGAAGAGCCTGCCTTTGGGGGAGGCCAGGGCTGTCACAATTGCTTTCTCCCAGGTACTTGGTCGTGGATTTAAGACACTAGTCTACCTGGTATTTCCCATAAAAGAGGCTTGCTGTGTACTTAATTACCTTTGTAAATATCCTTTTGGTAGAGGAAGTGGAATTAACTGTGCAGCCCTAAGTGATCAAAGTTCTCCCCTTCTGTGGTTGCTGTTGTGTACTTGGGTTTAAGGGCTGGGCATCTTCAGGCACTCTACACAATGTAACAGACCACGCCTGAGAAATTTTTTCAGCCTTGTGCTGCTACCTCTTCAGTAAAATTAGCCACATCCTGTTCCTCACCCATTCCTCTGCCATGCCTCGCGGAGCAGGGACCAGAGGGTGTGCTGCCCAGCTGCTGGAACAAGCAGGGACCAGAGGGTGTGCTGCCCAGCTGGTGGAGCAGGAGCCTCTCCTTGCAGGCACAGCCAGGTGTGGCAGGTGGTGCCTGGGACCCCAGCCCTTAGTGCAGAGGAGAGGTGGGGTATCCTGTGGTACGCAGGGCAGGTGGCTCTGAAACACCCTACAACACCAAAGCTTTGACTCACCAGAGCAGCACTATGGGGACACGCTATTTGAATGCACAGAACAGCTGACAAAAGGCAGAGCTGAGCATCCTCTCCCACTGGAACAGAATTTAAGCACGTTACTGCTGATTAACTCATGGCTGAAAGAATCTAATCAGGATATAAACCTGGTCACATTTCTTACTCCACTTTGAATGTAAACAAGTTGTCCAAAGCACCAAAAGTCAGTTTGCTCAGTGCAGAGTTGCAGTCTCTGGAAGGGCTGAACTGAATGACACCTCAGAAAATGAGGTAAGAGGTTGAAATTATCCAGTTGGCACTCATAAATTAAATCAAAGCCTAACATGCATCACAGGAACTCTTTTTAAGCATTACTCTCATGCACAGAGCTTCAGAGATAAAATGTAGAGAAAAAAATACTCCAGTCAGACACTTTGTGTTGTCCCATTCATACTTAAGCCAGAGCTAACTATAGGCATCTGACTGCTTGGAGGGAAAACAAGACTATTAATTCATTCCATCATAAAGGCACTGGAGAAGTACTCTTCATCTTGTAGGTATCACCTAGAAGAGAAATTTTTCCTGTCCCTAATCAAACTGCAATTCCTAACTAGTGTAAGAGAAAACACTGGCAGTAATTGCTCTTTTTAATATATTTTTATGAAGCTTTTGGGCATTTCTGCCCTCAAAGGGCAAGACAGTTTATCAAATACACAAAGAACCAATATCCCTCCATTATATATATTATATACAGTTGAGTGTTCAGTTCATTCATTCTGTTTTCTTTGTAAATTGGCCTCTTCAGTGTCCCATGTGAGTGAAGACCTTCAATACCATCCCTGTCCAGCTCCTCAGCTCTCATGTAGCCCCAGCATCAGCCACTGGAAACTTCACATGTAAAACAGAACTAACTTCTGCTTTGAGTCTGCCCCACTTAAACCATTTTATGACTAGCTTAAGGCTAATTTTTTAAAAAATGCAGTTTGTGGGGTTTTTTTAAGTCTTTTATCTTTGTCCATTTTTATGGGCAATGTCACATAGAAATAAGTCTCTCTTTTGAGCTCGTAGTCTCTGATGGCTGAATTTTTGTGGTGTCTTGTCGAGGTAATCCATAGAGGTAAATAGAAACACAGACCAGTAAAGCACCCAGGGAGAAGGTAACAGCTGAAAGGAGACAAAAATAAGTTTATTTTTTTAAATAAATACACCTCCATTTAAGAAGAAACCTACAGAAGACTAAGCTGTATAAGTTATGACGATATCCAAATGATAATATTAAAGTTACTTTAAACATGACAACAAGCTGTTACTAATTGACAGAATCTAGATTAATCCTCTGTCACTGAGAACTCCCGAGTGTTTACACCTCCCAAACCATTTCAATTAGTGTCACATCAGCAAGAATGTGATGGTCAGAAAAGCAAGTGTGAGACATCTGTAGTTCCAGAGGCGACTTGACAGGCTTCCTTTACAGTAAGCTTGAGAACAAAGACACAGTGGATGGAATAAAGTAGCTTGTGATAACACACTTGGTTTGCCTTTTCAGTTCCAGATAGGGTTAAGAAATACTATCAACGAGGCTTTCACCAAGAGATCACCACCAGTGCAGGTTAGATTTGTGTCAAGCATCAAAAAAACCCATTCTGCACAAGTAAGTTTTAAATTACTTTTTCTTTTCATCCCTTGCTGTAAGGGATGATCTTTTTTTTCAGACAAACACTGGCGATTTTCTTCTTAAGCAAGTTTCATCTCACTAATGCCACATCAAAAGGCTATTTTTTTCATCATCACACCATACCATCTTTGGGTGACAGTAGGAAAGGACAGTAGTTTGCAGGACAGCACAAAGCAATCTGCTGTTTCCTCTCACCACATCAGTCACCACCCCAACTGCTGCTTGACTCGCCCTCACGTGGTGCTGGCCACAGCAAACAGGGAAATCAAAACTTAGCGGGTGTAACTGAACAGGGATGGGGCAAAGCCCTTGCAGGAACAGCAGAGGAATTAATTTGGCACTGGCTGAACTAAAACCAACAAGAAATTATGACTTATCAACAGCAGTGGTAGGTAAACAGCTGTATCACATACTAAACTGCATTGGAAAGTGATTCATACATAAAGCTGTATAAACACCTAAGGTGTTTAAATAGGAAGAAACCTTCCCACGTGCAACTGCAGGTGGCCTCTGAAGGAACCAACTGTGATACCTTTGAAGGCACAGGATCATCAGGCACCTTGTGCAACACAACAGGGACAATGCATTAGTGCACAGGAGTCCTGGAGAAGACTTAAAAGCAGAAGAAAAGCCGGAGGAGGCACAAAGGATTGCTTTGGCATGAAGTGCACACAGCCAGCCAGAAGGAAACCTGTGTATAAGGTCAAATCAGAGCCAAAAAGGTACTTACTTATCTGGAGGCCAAAGAGGAGGACTGATGCCACAGTAGAAATAACAATGGCTGCAGCTGCAGAGAAGCCTTTCATAATGTTATCTGTGTACTTAACAACCACTGAAGTGTAGAGGCCACCTACGCTGGCGAGAACTGGAAAGGAGGTATTTTTCTATTAGTAAAGGTGCAGTAGGTGACTCTTTAATGGAGCATTTTACTACACTGGTGTATTCTTTTGGGCTACCTTGTCCTGATTGGTGATTTAATGCAACATTCAGCAAAATGGGATGTCTACACAGCACCTAGATCAGATATAACTCATTTAAAGATGATCTACTCGCTACTCAGTCAAATCCCCCTCTGCTCTGGTGAAACCCTGCCTGGAGCACTGTGTCCAGGTCTGGGACCCCAGCATAAGAAGGACATGCAGCTGTTGGAGTGAGTCCAGAGGGGGTCAAGAAGAAAATCTCCTGTGAAGACAGGCTGAGAAAGTTGGGTTTGTTTAGCCTGGAGAAGAGAAGGCTCATGGGGAACCTCAGAGCAGCCTTCCAGTACCTGAAGGGTCTACAGGAAAGCTGAGGAGGGGCTTTTTACAAGGGCACGGAACGAGAGGTCAAAGGGGAATGGCTGTTAACTGGAAGAAGGGTGATTTAGATGGGATATTAGGAAGAAATTCCTTACTGTGAGGGAGGTGAGACACTGGAACAGGTTCCCCAGAGAATCTGTGGATGCTCCCTCCCTGGAAGTGTTCAAGGCCAGGTTGGATGGGGCTCTGAGCAACCTGGTCTAGTGGGATGTGTCCCTGCCCATGGCCCTAGACGATATTTAAGGTCCTTTCCAACTCAAACCATTGTATGATTCTGTAACTGAGGCTGCTGTTTCAGCACATTTTAAAACTGAACAAGTGAATAATTTCCAAGATAATTATACTCTAAAAAAACCCTCAAAACACAGTAAAGAACAGTGGGTTAGACTGCACTTGCAGTTCTGTGCAATCAGTTATATCATAGGTAAAAAAGCAAAACAGCATAACAAGACCCTAAAACCACAAGATACTTACAGATGACAAACCAGACGTAGTAAGTATAGCCATAGAAGAACCCCTTCTCAAGAACCTGAGCTCCATCTGACATGTAAACACCAAATAAAGTCACCACAATCCCAGATAAGTACATCTGAATATTCCTCACCCACAAGGAAGTATCTGAACTCTTTAAGACCTTCTCAAAATAAACTCCTAAAAAAAAAAAAAGTTTCAGTGAGATGAAATGTTTTCCTTATTGACTCATGGTTCATGGTGTTTCAAAGCCAGACAAAGCTACTGAAATAATTTTGTCCTACAGTCCAATTCACAAAGCTCCCACTGCAGAAGGTCCCAAAACACATCCTGCTACCATGTGTCTTTGAGAACAGGATAATTTTAATGGATGCATAACATCAAAAGTAGATTCTATTTCTCTTTACAGTTGTTTTAACAGTAAACCTCAGCACCAATTACAACTAATCCTCATTTATGTTTCATTTGTCAGGCTTCTGTCCAGCAGAGTTTCTTCTGTACAATTCCACACCAGGGAAAAAAAAAAAAAAAAGCAAGCAGCATTTTACTGATATTTTATCCCTAGGACATCATGTATTTTATTATGATGTACAACTTTTTTTTCTCCATTGGGATACTTAACAGTAAAAAATTAAACCAGAGGTGGGACTATATTACCTCAGCACTGAGACTGAACATTCCTCAGAAGCTTTGTGCTTGCAGAGCACTTGGCAGAGTGGTGATGTTCTGAAACCACAGCTTCAGGGCATTACAAGAACAAATCAAAACTGATGTCTTCTGCTAACTGAAGCTATGGATTGGTTTTGAATTAATGGAATTCACTTTAATCTAAAGCTCTCGTTCACAGTGCCACACTGATGAGCATTACTTTTATGCTCTGTATTACTGAAATTCCCCAAATACTTTTTCATTAATTCTACTCAGGAGATGTACGTCAGATTAAAAGGCCAATATCTGACATGGCCATCACTGGCTGCATTGTTAACCATTGCTCCCATACCAGGACACTGCTAATCTCTGGAATTTTCTTCCCATTCAAAACATAGGCAACAGTTTGCAGGACCCAGATCTTCTCAGCCACTTCTACAACTTCCTGGTGTGAGTCCTACTGACTAAGTGCTTGTTGCTGATTAATGTCACTCAAGATCTTTCATACAATATGATGTAAGTATATGGAACTGACAGAGGAAAGACCTGAGGGTTAGAAGCCTTAGGCCCACGCTCCTCCTCCTGAAATCACAGTTAGCTTCAAGGAAATTCTTGCTACTCTTCTATTAAGGAAAAATCCAATTTATAATTTAATACAGTATATAGAATATTTATGGAAAATAAATCAGATATTTAAATTTCAAGGGTTCAAAGAATAATAATATATTTCCTTTGTTTTCTTTCATACAAATACACATTTTTAAAGCCTCAACATCAACAAAAACCTAGCCTGGATGATGACTGCAGTGCTTAATAGAACCCACAGTAGTTTTCTGCCCACTGAGAAGACTCTCAGAGCACAGTCAGATGTAAACAATGTACCAGAGTATGACATGTACTTGTAAACTTCATAATTTGTTATAGAACAAGTAAGTCAACGAAATTACACTTTCCCCAAAAATACATTTAAAAAAATCACTCCACTGGGCAAGATGAAGGAAATAATGGGTGCTACTTAGGAGATATTATCCTTCAGTGCTGTTTCAAGTTAAAAAAGGTCTGCCATCTGTCCAAAGCTTTTGTATGCATGGTTGGGCTCCTGGATGCTTGAAAATTATCAGATCAGCATTTTGAAGAAAAAACTTTTTTCCAAGAGACAAAAAGCCACTTAATGGTTTTTGTTTGTTTTTTTTTTACTTTGACAGGTTAATATAAAACATGGTCAGTCCAGAAAGAGAAGGTTTAATGCCAAAACAACTTCCTCATGTGGGCGTAGGAAGCAAAAAGAGGAAACTGGTTTAAATAGGATTTATGTGTTCATCACATAAAGCCCCAAGGGCACAAAGAGCTCCAGGGCTGAAGTGCTGTGTCCTCCCAGCTGCCTCAGAGCTACAGATGTCAGTGAGGAAACACCCAAACTGCAATCCTTTTGCCGGAGAGGAAAACTTTGTGCCTAATCCTCCGGAGCTGCCCACATCAGCCCTTTCACTGGTCTGAACTTGCACACCTTTAGAAGCACAACTATGGTCCCACACTCTCAGAGAAAGCTGGAGAGCTTTAGACTGAAGGCTTCACTGTGAATGCCGTGTTTTGTCTCATGGCTTGGGAGCATCTACTAAAAATGAGTGAATTTATAATCTTCCAGAAAAAGCTGACTGAGTTCTACACAATTTTATTTAGTATTTCTGCTTCAAAGTGCCCATTTCACTGAAAAGACACCAAAGAACATCTTACTCTTTTTCCTCCCTGCCAGCAAGAATGTTTTCCAAGAGTAACAAGCATGTGCGTACAGCACAAGACTATTCTTGAATACAGTGCTAGAGGTGGGTGGTAGTACCTTGTTTTCTTACAGAGGGAGGGGGAAAAACCCAGTTTACAGACAGGAAAACAAGCCCCTGGGAACCAGATTTCAAATTTAAGTAGTAATTTGTATTATCTTATTTCTTAGCACCTGCTCTCCTGTCCTCCAGTTCTGGTGTCCTTCTGCAGAAGCCAGAGAAAAACTACTCTAAGGGGAAATGCTATTTGTAAAAAGACCCAAATAAAACAAACTATGTCAACAACAAAACCAAATCAAACAAAAAAAACCCCACAACCAATAATCCTTCATGGAGTTTGTCTAGGTTTCCTGCTATTCCATCTTGCTCTCTGCCTTACTTTTGCTCCTTCTGCATCTCAGTTAAGTATCTTCACCTACAGGACCACAGCAATCTGTATTTTGGAGCTGAGCTAGCACAAGCACTGAGTGAAGAACTTAGCTCCCCTTACAAAAAAAGGCAACTACTTCATGTGATCACCATAAGGGAGTTATTCACTGCAAAGCCAACTTGATAAAACTTAAGTACATTAATTCATTGTACTGAGTTATTATGGATGTTCCCCACAGATTTGTTCTAAGCATTTGAAAGATGCTTTGACTTGAAGACCAGCTTTCTAAGCTGCATCACATAAAACCAACAGTATGTGCTACTAGTCATTTGCTTGACAACTGGAGTAATCATGTAATGAATCTGTCATAATTACTGCAAGTAGAAGGTAATTGTGGGCAGAGGGGATAATGTCCTCTTAATCATATAATCAATGAGGACAGTTAACTGCTGTAGAATGTTCTGTTTTAAACATCATGAGATCTCCAGTCCTTTTGATGTGACCTGTGTACAGGAATAATACTATACCTGCAAATCCTGAACATAATACAGCAACAGCAATGGCTCCAAACCCTAGCAATGGATTCTGCTCCACCTGCAACATCAACCATTATTTTAAAAAGAATGCAACGCTTCAGTAATTTACAATCATCAATTCCAGAGCTACTTTGTTACGTGCAGCAAAATTATTAGCACTTCATTCCAATATAACATGTATTTGCTCAGCCAGAGCTGCCCTTCTGATTAGATCACTGTAGCTGATGTGTGGAGTTTCACTTCCTGCAGGTGCCCTTAGCAACCCCTGCAGTGCTCAGAAGCACCATCCACTTGGCTGGGGCTGCTCTTCCCAGCTGTGTGACCTGCCCTTCCCACTAAGGCACTGACCAGCAGCTAAGACCTAAGAAACAGAAGACACTGTTTTCTCCTAGAACAGAATTAGGTCAGCGTCTCTGAAGGGTGTGTTTAACTGACCCACACCCACAAGGCACTGGAATTTCACTCCTAATCCCACCAAGTGTTTTGATTCCAAGTTCTCTGCTCCAACAATTACACTGATCCCAGGGCCAAATGCTGGAAACACTGGACCACTCAGATACTCCTATGATGGTGCATTAGACTGATTATGATGGCAGTGGTAATTTATACTAATTGGAGCAACAAAGTGCCTTTCCAACAAGGGAGACTGGAGCAATACCACAAGACTGCCTGAACTGGTACACAATAAATGTAAATGATCAAACTAGTGTTTACGTTGAAGATGAAGTGGCTAGAAACAGGAAACAGGTGCTGCTGTGTGGAATGTCACAGACCTTGCCTTAATCCCAGCTGCTGTGAAATGAAATAAAGTATAAGGCAGTTTATTCTTCATCATGAAGTGGCAAAATGTAAACTCCCACCTGTACTTTGGTAGCCTGAGCAGGGTTCCACTGGACAAGGGTAACACCACCGCACAGCATGAAGACAGAGAACCACTGCAGCTTACTAAGGGTGCGGTTTAGCATCAGGACTGTACATAAAGCTGTACAAGGGATCTTCAGCTGGTATGTCACCTAAAGAAGATGGGAATATAGCACAGAGGATGTGGCTTTATCACCTCCTCCAAGACCAAGAAAACAAAATAGAAGATTCAAATACAGAGTGACAAAAATTTGAATTCACTGGTTTCCTACAGATCTTTGGGGTTTTGTACCACTGTCAAATGTATCAATGTGAATCTGAAGTGACTCTAGGAGTGAGTGAGTTAGCTCAGAAAAGCTGAGCTCTGCAACACAGTGTATGTTCTCAAGGAAAGCCAAGAGATGCTCTGTTGTATCACCAAGGCTGAAGAGAGTACCATGTGCTGGGCAGATAGATACCTAGCACACATGCTTCATGAAACTGTAAAAAAAAAATACATTTGCAGATCTGTTACTGACAAAAACATGTATTACCTGGTACACTGCTGCATCCAAGTTGCTAAGAGCCACAAATGCCATGTTATTTTGGAGAGCATACACCAAAGATGGAACACTTAATTTTAGCAATTCTTTATGACTTCCAAATACATTTTCTTTTAAAGATGTTATTAACCTTGCCAGACTTCCAGTTTCTCTGCAAAATAAAATATTAATGTAACTGAGGGCTCTCTTAAACTGGTATTTCAAAACAGAAATCAAATCAATTAATCCTCTGGGAAGGCTGAAAATTTGTTCTCAACGACCAGTTGTACCTTCTGCTCATTAAGAAAAATTAAGTGGGAAAAAACAATGAGGTTATCAACAAGTCAAAACCTCTGAAGATGAAGAAGACATTCTGAAATCAGGTTAGATGCATTAATGTGTAATAAATTAAACAACAACCATGAACACTGTAAACAGTGGAATGAGTTACCAAGTATACAGGCAGTGGGAGAGAAGGCTGTCATTGTATCTCTCTTCCCCTTTTTTTTGTTTGGGTTTTTTTTTGGCTATTAATATTTATATGTGATGTCAAATACCCATGATTTCCCAGATTCCCTTTAACCTGGGCCTGACAGTACATCCAAAAAAGATGGTATCCTTGCACACTACTGAGCTGGAAACACCTCATTCCTCAGCCAGCCCTGGGCTCCTTGCTTGTGCTGCAGGAGACACTGGACCTCAGGACATGTGATGAGGTCTGGCACGACGTGTGGCAGCTCCTTGTTGCCTTGAATCTTCACATGTCTCCTTCATGTAATTATAGTCTGAATAAGAGCAGGCAATGGGCAAGGGCATATTGCTTCTTGCTCCTTTCCCCTTTTGCAGCTTGCTCCTCAGCTTATTAAAGCTGACCACTGCATTGCTAGTTCTCCCTTACCGTTCATACATCCACCTGACATTTCTTGCTTACTTGTCACTGCTACTCAAGTCCTCCAGTTGCCTTCCCAAAACTCAAATCCCACATTTCTTCTTTCCATTCTTCTCTATTCTCCTGCTTGGCCACTGACAAATACCAACATACAAAATCACTCCTGTCCTCTCCCACAGGTCTCTCTCCACTTGCATCCAATATGATTCCTGAATTTAGCATTTCTTTTGCTTCCCTTACACACACAAACGGCTCACAACCTCCTTGGTGCCTCTGGAGCCCAATTCCCTACATTTCACCCAGGTCCCAACTTCTTCCTTTTTACAAATGTATGTCATCTACCTTCCCCAAACTCTTGCTATGCAAAATCTGCAACCTTTCTATGCCCCAGGCTCACTCATTAACCATCCTGTTCCTGCATATTCTCCATTCCTGATCAGCTGCTGACTCTGGTCCAGGTTCTTGAAGTTTTTCCCTCCAAAGATTTACATACTCTGCCATCTCGTTATCCTTCTATCCAAGTTTCTCTTCTCCCTTGCCTTCCTCCCTGCTTGGCACCAAGATACCTTTTCTCCTTTTCTGTGGTAAGAGTAGTCTTTATAGAGGCAACTGCGAGGGATTCTTTTTGTCATCTTCCCGTAACAAAGAGAACACACAAAACATCAGTGTCAGGGCAGTGCAGTTACCAAACAAAGGTCAATATGGTTTTCCACCCTCTTCTTGTACAAGCATGGTCACATGCGAAGCTCTCTGCTAACCTAAGGGGATATTTTGCTTGGGACAGGCTTGGTGACACCAAGCATGTCATGTTGGTGTCTTCCGCAAGACACGTCTGGCCACATGGAACAACACTGACACGAAAATCTATAGACAAGTAGCACCTAAAGTCTGCAATACAAGGAAGGGAAAAAGTTGATGCTTCAGCTCTCCATGGTTAACTGCACTAGATACAGAGCTACAGAAAATGTTGTGAGCCATTGACATTATAGGCAAAATTTCTGATTTACTCACTCCTCAATGTATTTATTATATTGCCCAGCACTGGAAGACAAGATTTACAAGAAAACCTACAGTTCCTGATAAGTACAGCTGGACTAAAGTACTTCTTTCTCGTATGTCTAACTGCAAATAAAATAAAATAATCACAGAAACAGTTCTAGTCTGTAAGAAGTCAAAAAATACCACACAGTAATGGCTTCTTCTATTTGTTCATACTAAAATGGGTTCAAGAACAGGAAATTAATATTTAAATTACAGCTACTTCTGTTGCAGACCATGTTCAGTGAAATCAGCTGATCACACATTTAAAGCCAAGTCACAGCAGTAACAGTAGTTTCTGTCTACTTTGACTTCTAGCATGGCATTTCAGAAAATAACAGATGTCCAGACAGCACCATTTTCACTTCAGTTTTTGAGAACAAAAAGATTAACTGCCCAACAGATCATCTTTGCAGTGGGTGTGCCTTCTGAAGCATGCACTAACCAAGAATCTCTAAGTTGAATTCAGTAGAAAGATGGGAGACAGATTTAAATCCACTTTAAAAAAAAAAAAGTTAAACCAAGCCTCTGTTTTCAGCTGATAATGCAAAGTGCCCAAAGTTGTACACTACAAAAATCAAAAAGAAAAATTATCTAGCTTGAATTCAGCATTCTTGATGTTGATCTAGATTCAACTTAAAAAAAACATCTTCTGTTTTTCTTCATAGGTCTGAATAAGGGAGAGATACTAAAAACAATCAGCTCTGTAACAGATACATCACATTTGTTAGAAAAGCTGAAGCTAAAACTAGAGTTCAGAAATCAGCTCTACTTTTCATCCTCCATTGCTAAGAAATTACACACCATCTAACAAAGCAGACAACGTAATAACCAGATGGTCAAGTAGACTTTAAATAAATAGGACAAGTTCAAAGTACAGTTGAGTAAACAGTTAACACAGCTTAAACTATCATAAACTTCCCCTTTGAAAGACAATATTCAGGCATTCAGAGTGTCTCCCAGGAGAAACCTTTAAAGTAAACACAGTGAAGGCACAGTGTAAGAATGTGTAAGAAAACAAATTCTGCAAACAGAACAATTTGAGAGTCATACTTCAGTATCCTGTATGTTGCAGTAATCAATGCTGGCTCCTTCAAAAAGAAGGTACCCACCCAAACGTATCCTGCTCTACAGAAAAAACAGAACCATCTTTTAACTGGTTTTTAAATGACAAAGGCACCTTGGTTGAGACAAATTGGTTAGGTCTTTAAAACTGGAGGAAGCTGTAAAGAAGACACTGAAGGAAACTATGTTGGAATTTATTCTGTCCAGCATATTCATAAGCAATCTAAAATGGGAGATTACTAGAAAATTGGCAATTTTTGCTGATGATACTCGATTATATGTGATAACCAAAAGGAAATCTGCAATAGTTGCCAAAGGGTCCATCACTACACCAAGCAGAATTTACCAGATCTCTTATCATCTGAGATATAGCTCAGTTATCTGAACAGCAAAGGAAGGCACCTGGACCCTCCAGCAAGCAAGAGAACCTACTGCAAAGAGGTGAGTGTGGCTATATGAATGGTGTCTGCTGGTGCTCATCTCTCCCTTTCTCAACTATGGAGGAAAAAACCCACTAGCTTACTAGCTCAGAATAGATATTGTAACATTCAAACTGCTCAGCGAGTCAGAGTCATCCCATTTTAATTGGCAAATAAAGCTCATTTGTCAGTAAAACAGGAATAATCATAGGAAATGACAACCCCAAAATACAGCAGCCATCTCTAAACCAGTTATGGGTATTTAGGAAAAAGATGCGAGTAGCTCTCTTGACAGTGCCAGCTCAAGCTTCACCAGTGTTCAGAGAGATGAGCAGAACATAGGAACATAAACCATGACAGGAAGGACCTCCACCCCTCTATCTAATGCCACAGCATATTTGCATCCTGAATTCTGTATACAGCTCTTGCTCCTGTTTCAAAAGGGTTATAACAATACTGGAAGTGCCATGGAGGTGGGTACCAGGATGATCACAGAAAAATTCGACTAGGACTCCCAGCTTAGAAAATAATTAAGTGATGCAAACACAATACATATCTGAAGAGATAAGAAAATAAAAATGAAGGGCGAAAGATGATTTCTTATGTCTGTGAACACAAGAAGACAGAATCCAGTGAAACTGCTAAATGAAGTGTTTACTAAAAAGTGCTTTTTCATACACTGTAAAATTGTATTGCAGAATTAATTTCACAGGTACAGTGGGGACTAAACTGGGCAGTCTCACAGAGGACAGGATCATTAGGGGCTACAGCCACAGTGTGCACACAGCCTCCAGCTGTAAAATGCTTCTGCCACCAGCTAAGGAAAGTTCAGCCCACCCTTGCCCTATTGCCTATACTTCTAAGCATCCCCTGCTGAATACTGTCAAAGAGAAGACAATGGGCTCCATGGATTTTTGGCTGTGTAGGGCTGTTCTGAAAACATAATAGACTTCTGAATTAAAAGCAATTGCCTTTTAAATTATTTCAGGAAAAAAAAGACCATTTGTACATTTATTGAACACAATATTATTGACCCCTGACAAAAGGCAGATTTCTTACCCTGCCGAACTAGGCCTCTCTGGTATACTACAAACAGCCTGGGTCCCAGGTGCATGAGAACAGACTTGAGAAATTACACACACAGATGAGGCCACCCACAGGTCCCCCACTATTGAGAAACGTGCTGCTGCAGTCTCCAGAAGGCAGGCTGGACTAGGATCCACACTGGCCACAACACTGTAAGAACCACAGCGCAACCACTCGTCAGCAGAGACACTTCTTCCAACATTTTCTGCTGGCAGAGCAAGAAGCCCAGAGTGTATGAAAAGAAAAACAGAAATTTGCCACAGGTTACACTTGCCTTTTAATGAAAGGTTAAACAAAAGGCAGCTTGCCACAGCTGCCTTACTAAGTCCAAGTATTGTCTCATTTCTAAAGCAAGTAAAATGCCATTTTCATGCTAAGTAGAAAAGATCTGATCAAAATCTGAAGTACACAATGTGACTTCATGATCCTCTATCACACAACAGCCATCCTTCTGATGTTCCAAAAGCCACAAAGAGATAGGGAGATCCTAAAAGAACAAATTCTACCACAACAGCAAGAACCCAGCTTTAGAATATTAAGATTCTTCCAAGGGACAATGCAGCACTGGGAAGCTGAGAGGAAAGGCAGAAGACAGATGGCCTCCCTCTTTCAGATGTTCACATGTGGACTAAAGCTCTAGTTCTTAGCAGCAGTCTGGGGTTACAGAAACTCTCATATTTTCTGACCATACAGCCTTTCAGCTCTGATTCCCAAGGTCAGCAGAGACGGCAAAATGTCTGTCTAACATTGTTTGGGAAAATCTATGAGTAGGAACATTCCAATTTTATACGACTCGGCAGATAATGGCTCACAGTCCAGTTTTCATCTACACCAGTATTTTAAAAACCCAAAGCATCGTAGGTAATCCATGCTGACATTCTGAACCTATCCCAAAGCATACAAAAATAGAAAATATGCAGGAAGGACACACCTGAACATTGTGATGTTTACAAAGCAGTTTCAGTTGAGGACCCACAAGCTCTAACCCGCTCTGAAATGAGTCTTCCACAGCATGGCTATCCAGCCACGTTCTCCAACATATCTGTATTTCAGTATCTGAGAATCTGAGGTTAGAAGCTGGGATTCATTTCCAAAATACTGATTAGCTTTCTCCTACTTACCTAGCCAAGATGCCCACACTCAGGAACAACTTGATCACTTCAGTGATGCACACAGCTGTTGTTGAGAAGTACAGCTCTGCCTCCACTGTCCTTGTGTACCGCATTGCCACCGTGTATGCTGCAGCAACCAGGGTCATCACTGTGAGGCAATACAACTTGAATGGTAAGCTGACATTTTCTGAAAGAAAACAAAGATGAAAACTCGGCATGGCCTCCCTTTTAATTTAAGAACTGAAACAGGGTGTTCTGCAGCTGGAGGACTGGATCAAATACTCCTGTGGCAGCACCCAATAATTACAATGTTGTGACACAGCTCCTATAAAACGTTTAACTTAAATTTTTAAGTCTCTTCTCAAAGAAGCTTGTATAGGAACTCCAGGTGTTTGAAAAGAAGATGTCCTCTTGCCATCATAATCATCATTCTAGAAAAGCTAATCATAGACTAATATTTATCTAATAGGAATCAGAAAGTCTGAAATGGCAGCTGCTCCTCTCCACATAGTATAGTGAAGTCTGACACAGCAGTGGCAGAGTAGTAAAAGCAAAAAGGAAAAGTTCCATATCAGCAAAGAAGGGAATCCGTCCAGCAAAGCTTAATAAATAAGGCAGTGCTTCTTTCAGCCTTGCTCTCCACCTCAGCAACAGAAGAAAATGTTGCTGATAACAGTGATGGGACATGACACAAAGCACTATCTTAAAAAATCGTTCACAGTAAGACTATTCAAGTAAATCAAACCATACAACGACTATGTATGACCTGTTACCTGCTCTGTCTTCCCTGCTCCTTTCCTACTACAAGAACAGCCATTCTTGTAACAGCATTGCCCTGGACCAACTACTATCCTGCAAAATTTGGGAGTTGGCCCATTCCAGATGTACTAGCAAAAGGCAGTTTTTCATACAGCTGCCCACTTCTAAGGCTTGAAGTTTCATGGGGTGGACAGTTCATTCCCATGTTAGAGAAGAACTAAGACTGCATTTGTACCAGTGAAGAGAACAGCACATGACTCCAAACAAGACTTCTCTGCACAAAGACATGACCTACAACATGAGGCACCAGCAAATGTGTCTGCAAAACCATTTTTCAAACTGGTAAACTATTCTTATGTATGGCATCCGGTGGGTGGATGTTAGTCATTTAGCAGCAGCTTTTGGACCATTGTATGTCCTGAATACCCTAAACAAATGTACTTTAATTGGTATAAGTTCACATTCCTTCTGCTGATTAGGGAATGAGCTAATAATAGATAAGCTCTGGGCAGATTTGTAATAGCTTTGTTAATTTAATATGGGAATATATTGCTGAACCCAGTGCAACTGATGTTTTGGTTCATTCTTCTTTCAAGCCAGCGATGTCTTCTATTGCATAACATTTCTGCAAGGTACAGTTAATACCTCCTGCTTCTGCAATAATTTAAATTAGCTACTTCCTTGTAGATAAAAATCTTACTCATGTCAGTAACCACTTTTAAAAAGCAGAGCAAATTAGTTTTTGGACTAACAGTGCTTAAAAGACTTACAAGCTGTAATCCATTTTTAAATTAAGTTTGGATTGCAGGGGAGAGATGAGGTGGGGGGGAATCCAAGGGTGTAACAACCAGGAAACAAAATTAACCCAGTCCAGTTTTTACAAAAAATTATTTCCCAATATTGTTTCTGTCAGCACTAAAATATAATTAGGAATGTATTTTTACACACTACTGAACTAAGTGTAATGCTTGCCTACATTAACTACTCTTTACAAATAAATAAGTGCCCTAATTTGGCAACAGTTTGCAAACCTGGGTAAACCAAATGCAGCAGGACACGATAATGAATCTAGTAACCATACTCGACAGTCCTAGTTATTGTGTTAAAAGGTACTTATAGTTAGATTCCAGCCAGAACCTTTCTCCAGCCTGGCTCACAGATCTGCATCAGTACCAGTGCAGCACTGGGAGCAGAAGGAAGATACACTTGGGGCACCCATCTCTTTGGCTGGTAAGAATGAACTTACACCAGCTATAAAGAAAAAAAAAATTAAAAATGGAATAAAACAAAATAAGAAAAAAAGAACAGCTAAACAAGCTGTTGTTTCTTTACCAGAGTTTCTCCTGCATGGAATAGAAGGATTTCCAGCCTGAGGACATACAGGGCCTCCCACACACCTCCAGAGCTGACAGAACCAGCCAGGACGTTCTCAAGTGGCAGCCCAAGGCACTGGCAGCAGAGCCCAGCAGCCTGCCGGGGCCCTGGGTCCCTCAGACCCGAGGGAAACTCCTGCTCCCGGGCCGGCCCCTCCGGGGTGACCCCCTCCAACACCCCTGCTGACAGGAACCTGTGCCAGGTGTGTGAAGCAGAGTGGTCCGAGTTGGAAGGGACCTTAAAGATCTATCGGTTCCAACCCCCCTGCACGGGCAGCGGCACCTTCCCCAGCCCCGAGCGCTCAGAGCCCCGTCCAGCCCGGCCTTCAGCACTCCCAGCGAGGGGGCGAAGCAGCCAGAGCCGGGGGGGCATCGCCTTCCTGAAGCCTTTAAGCCCACTTGGCTCGGGCGAGGGCTTTGCCTTCGGGAATACCGCGCTTCTGGCATCTCTGCGGGCTCTCCCGGACCGGCGGTGTGTTTTGGGGGGGTGCCCAGGAGCGGGGGA